GGCTCAAGTTTCAAGGTTCAAGAAGAGTTAAAGAGCGAAGCCGCTTCGCTCTTTAACTCTTCTTGAACCTTGAAACTTGAGCCTTCAAGGGCCTCTGCACACACACACACACACACACCCATCTATCCCCCCTAGCTCAGGGCAGGCTTGACGTATATATAATTATATACGTACCGTGATCGTGAGAAAACATAAGGCACTTCTGCTGTAGCAGGGGTTGTGCGAAACAGTCGTACCATAGGCAGTGTTCCCCCGCCCCGTGACACACGTACACCAACGCCCTGCAAGCAACAATCAAGTAAAGAGTTAAACCTATATTACCATAGTATTTTCTAGTAGTTTTTACTGACTCTGGCCCAAGTGCCTGTGCTCCCGCCACCCATAGGAATGTTCTCTCTCAGTCTACAGGCCCTGTGGCTGTGTGTACAAGCAACCACAGGATTTCTCTTGGCAACCACCGCTGTCCATGCTCACTATACATTCCCATGCAGAGTGCGGATTATATGCTATAATGCGATGAAGTAATTGATTTAATTTGGATCTTGCCCATAAATATTTAATGTCATCACAGTGTAAATGCACGCGAGGAGAAAAATCGATGAGTAAGAAACTAAAAACCTACGGCATCGAGCGAGAACCGAGTAAAATGTAAATGGAGTGCGTGAGATTTATGTGAAGGAATAGTCTGGGGGGAGGGGGTTGTTTGGGGGAGGGGTTGTTTGGGGGAGGGGGTTGTTTGGGGGAGGGGGTTATTTGGGGGAGGGGGTTGCTTAGGGGAGGGGGTTGTTTGGGGGAGGAGGTTGTTAGGGGGAGGGGGTTATTTGGGGGGAGGGGGTTGTTTGGGGGTGGTTGTTGAGAGTGGCTGCAGCAGAGGAGGATAGTCAGATACAGAAGTCCTCAATGACCTTCCCCCCCCCCCTTTCTACCTCATCTCCTCCGTCCATGGGGGGTGGTGGTGTGTATGTGCGCGCGTGCGTGCGTGCGTGCGTGCGTGCATCGTATGTGTGATGTGTGTGTGTGTGATCATGCAAATGTAATCAAGAGCTAATAATACCTAATATAAGACCTAATAAAAGAGGTTTTATTAGTTGTTATTGTACTGTAGGGTCCAACACTGCAAGCGACCTCGACCCACTCACCTGACAATCTACTCACCTGTCTGCATATATACAGGTAACATCAAGAGGCCATATATAATATAGAAAACCTATTTATGGACTCCTTTCCTATTTATGGACTCCTTTCCTGTTTATGGACTCGATCCTTTCCTATTTATAGACTCCTTTCCTATTTATGGACTCTTTGTATCATCGTACGCATGAACACGCATTAATACATGTGTACGACGTGTAGCCGCCGTGTAGCGAGTTGTACGAGGGAGACTATATAATAATTCATCTAGCCACAAGTCACCGTAATTCTCACTTTCACTGCGTAGCGTTCCTACGACGTGAAACAGTCGTAGTTAGAGCCTGGTCGGGCTTAATCATAGATATATCTGTAGACCGTATTCTATATCTATGCTATAATGTACGTAGATCGATCGGTGATTTGATTCATTGGTGAATTGATCGGTTTGCGAGACAAACGTAAATAAGGAAATGCTAACGTGACGTGACTATAGTTTTTTTCCCGGATCTCCGGCGTTTCTTAGAGCTGCCGCAAATCCCTGACCAATGCTACTATGTGGGGCAATGGCAGATATTACGTGTAGTTAAGATAGAGCGTACACGTACAGGGCTAGTGCTTGTACTAGCTGTCATGCACAGTGCCACAGCGTGACCGCGAATTTATGCCACTGTACGCAAAACAAGGACAGCAAGTGCGTTACCCGGGTACGCCGTTAGGTAGGGCCTACACTCGCAAACAAAATATGGGTAAACACATATAAACACACAGGTCATACTGCAATCCGCAGTATTGATCTGTCTGTTTGATAAACTTTGTCTCTTTCCGTCTTCGATATCGTCCCTTGGACTTTAATGACTAATATTTACGAGGTTATAACAAACACTGGGCCCTGACAGCAAGAACAATTAAGTCCGCACGCATACAGCACACACGCGACCATTGACTATTATAACAACAGTCGTTGTAATAATAAATAACAGTTGTTATAATAGTCAATGGCCGCGTGTGTGCTGTACGTGCGGGCTTGTTCTTGCTGCCAGTGATAACAAAAAGCAGAATAATCCGTCATCACCTGATTTCTTCGCCATTTTCCAACTTCGGTTCCCAATATTTGCAAAATATGTACTTTCCGTCGGCGTTCACAAAGTGTGGCAGAGTGCTGAATGGAACACCTTGATATGTCAACGGTTCCTCGTCTTTCCCGGACATGTTTCACGTACTTTACGCAGTAAATAACAACAACAACAACAACAACAACGCTACGACGTGTGCGTGAGTTTGTGTTCACAGAAACCGTGCGTGCAATCTCTCGCGCCACGCGACTGACTTGCCAGCTGTTCACGTGATCACAAAGTTTGAGGACAGGCGCGACTAAGTGATAGATAACGCAGCGCAAAAACTCAAAGAGTACTTTGGAAACGGATATCCGATAGCGTGTATTTTAGTAAACTGATGGGAATTAAGCCAACACTAGTCAGATGGTAAATCACAGAAGATTGGGAAGAACTGAACGCGCATGTGTAGAGCATGGAGGGGCAGAAGTGCAGGAGGGAGAGGGAGAGAGAGAGAGAGAGAGAGAGAGAGAGAGAGAGAGAGAGAGAGAGAGAGAGAGAGAGAGAGAGAGAGAGAGAGAGAGAGAGAGAGAGAGAGAGAGAGAGAGAG